GTTTTGCCTTAATTGAGGGGACCGAGTGAAGGTTGCGTGGACAGCAATAGAGCACGTGATTTTCGGATAAAAATATGGCCCGGACTTCAGCGTCGCGGTAGATGCTGTCTCGGAGTTTCCCATTTTTTCTCGGTACTTACCGAAAAGTAATTTACTAATTTTGTACGGCTGCTCCAATGTCTGTTAAGCTAACTGCTGGGGAATTGGGGACACCCTATCTAGAATAGTACATAGATGTTTTTTAATTGAAAATTTATTTTAAAAGGGTTGTTATTTTTTATTATTAGAGAAATAATTATTTTTTATTTAAAAGTAATTGTTATTATTTAATTTAAAATTTTTTTAAATTAATTGTTTTTTATATTTTTTAAATAGATAAATATTTTTTATTTTAATTTTATTATTTATTTATTTTAATTAATTATTTTATTATAAAAAATCTTATTTTATTTTTAACTTTTAATATAGATATAAATATATGAATTCTTTGTAAATCTTTAATTTAGAAAAAATGTTAAAAAATAATAATTGTTTTAAGAACAAAAGAGTATTTCTTTTTTTAATTTTTAATTATTTTTTAACTTTAATTACATAATTATTTTTTAATTTAAATAATTTTTTATTTTAAAACAAAAAAAGTGTACCATATTATTAATATTTTTAATCTTATTGAAAAAATATTTTTTAAAATTAGTCTTTATTTATTTATTTTTTTCCTAAGGAGAGACTCTCACTAAGGAAAAACTCTCCCCAATCAATCAATATGATTTTTTTATATATATTTAAATAGACTATATATGAGAAGATAGTTATTTTCTTTCTCTAAATTCCTCTGCACTTTATTCAAAATTGAGATCTTCAATTTAAAATTCAAGTTCTTAACTATTGAATCACATCATTGAGGTTATCAATCAATATAATTATGCGATCCATAAAAGATTGAATGGCATAACATGTTTATTAAAAAATTTACTTTAAAATATTAAAATTTTTAACTTCATATTCTTTTAATATGTATTTTTTTTAAATATCATTTTTATTAACTTTTCATTATTTACAAATAAACTAATTAAAAACAATAC